AATAAGTTAGGGTCGTCGAATTTATCGCTGTTTCTATGGCCTGCATGATTCTGCCTCATGCCCCACTGGTCATAACGATAGATGAGATCTAATATGTTCATTAGATTTATCTCTATTAAATGGTTAAATGATGATGAGTTGCTTCTTTTATATAAAAAAGGGATTCAGTTACTTGCAGTCATTGGCTTAGCATAAACTGATATTGTTGACATCCTATTGCCATTGACCAGTATTTGTCTAACCAACGATATTCATCCTGAATGATAACCGATTTTCTTCTACAACCCCATGAGCTTTAACTGATTTATTCTTATGAGTATGCTGGAATCGACTATTTAGTCGATCTCCTTCCACATCGGCTCTCAGAGCCGCACTTTTGAAACTGTCTGGCAACACCGGCATGTTCCTCCTTAAATTACTGATTAACTTTCTCTCCTTGTCAATTGTAGGGTCAAATTGATTGGCATGTCTCGGGAGGAGTGCGTAGGATCGATAATCTCTGCGTTGAAGCTAGGCGGATCTCCAGCTCCATCGAGCGGACCCTTCCGGCTTGCTCATGTGCCCCGGCACAAGACAAAATTTTCGTGCCGACAATAGTCTACAACTTACACTAGTCCTAAAGATGCAAAGATGACATGAGCTATGCTAGGATCAAGATCGAGGAATTAACACCTCAAATGAATATCAAAGAGCAGTCATGAAGACCCTTGAAGACAAGGAAAAAGCTTAAGACATCAAGGATGATAAGTACCACTACGCCAGATCTGATAATAACTGCTAGGTCAGAAGCCCCCATCACTGTTGGAATCCATGCCCCATCATCATCATTGGAACCAGGCATGGTGATAGTGGTGGGTGATGGCTTGGCAGAAGCAGAGGTGGCTGGTGGTGCCTGGACGGGATCAGAGGCAGCAGGGGAAGATGATCGGTTGGATACCAAGGTGTTATGTCACCATTGCAGGGGTAATGGCAATGGTGGCGGCAGCTCGCCCTGGCTGCACAGGTCGTAGCCATCGGTACAGTCGGGGCGAGGTTTTCCCCTCTGCTCCCTATTTTGTTGGAGAGGATGAATAGGAAATAGACTAATTCATTGTTTAACCAAATCTTAGAGTGCCCAACGGCTTACATAGAGTTTGAGGCTAACAATCATCCTAAAATTACTCTCAATCACTTGTTCGAGCTTTTTTCGAACTGATTCCTATAAAATTCATGTTGAAATCCTGCAAAATTATATTCCTATATCCCAAATAGGCCCTGAATAAGGTATCCTCACCCACGAATGATAAGTTATTAGCAAATATGTAATAACAGCCAGCAAGATATCAATTCAAAATTTAGAACATCAAACAACCACATCACAAAATATATAAGAGTTCTCAACTAACAAGCTTTTTTAAACAAAATAAATCTTGAATTCCTCTAGGTTTTAGTATAGGAAGAGAAATTATCAGATATCACATTCTAAACATTAGATAATCCGTATAGAATTTGCAGATAATCCATATCCGTTAGATTTTTCTTTATTCCATATCCTACCTCACATCTAGTTGGATTTTTACTATCCATATCTGCATGTGCAGATATCAAATGTTCTTTTCCATAACCTCAAATTCGGATTTGGATTAGATCAGAACAGAGAATTATCCATGCCACTTTCACCCCTACTTTTCTACACTTATGGAGTACGTGGCAATGTACTCACCCTTCTTATTTTCCCCTTTACTACTCCATCTAGTTGTTTGGACTAGAAGATGGAATTTTGGTGTCGAGGCTACATTGGTGTGTACCTTGGTCAACTACCTATGGAAGATGGAAGACCTCATGTCATTTATAATAAGTATCACAATGTATCACTGATATCATCACCATATGTATGAATGAACTGATCATAATATATATGTAAAATGTATTGGGTTTTGTCGTTAAAACTAGGTGTGGCACTAAATTTTAAAGAATTCAAATCAAATTCAATTGTTTATGGATTAAAGATAATGGACACTTGCCATGAACATACCTCACCATGGGGAGGTACACTCGTGGTGAACCCCCATCATTCGTAATACATGCCGCCTGACTAAGAGCATCTCCAAGAGTCTTTTTATATCCTTCAGTATTGATAGGAATAGAGATTTTGGTGTACCCCCACAGCTCTTAAACTAGATCTCTAGCTATAGAGAGCGGTTTTTACTAGAATGATTCTCCAAATGGGGATTAGAGAGTGGGTTTAAGAAAGAGAAGCTCTAAGGTGCTCGTGGACATGGGGAGCAGGATCCATAATGTCTATACCAAAACATTAAACAATATGAAGATCTCACATCGGTGCGCATTTCCACGAGGTCAACCCCAGGGAGTCAACCTTTGTACTCAAGTAGCTAATAGTGCCCGCCACTTTTCGTACACTAGATAAATTATGGACTGAGATGCTCATCTCTTTGAGGTTGTTGACTTTGAGGGGGCGTAGTACGCCATATTCCGATGACCCTACTATGCCAAGTTCAACTACTACAATAGATTTATCATCGCTGGTTCTACTTGACGATGGTGAAAGTTGGCAGTGAAATGGTGTTCACCACCACCAGTTTGCACCGGCGAAGGTGAATAAAATATTTGAAAAAAAACAATATGTGCCTCGCCCGCACTAGTGTCGTCATCGTCGCCAGCGTGTCGTCAAGAGAGGGGCCTGCTGCCACACCAAGAGAAGGAGAGCTGCTCCAAGAGAGGGGATGACAAGGGGTGCTGTCGTGCTGGAAGAGATTGGGGCGGGGCCGCTAGCACCCTGTCCATGCCAAATCTGATTGCGAATGAGAGAGGGTGGTGGCGGGCCATCGACATTGTGCCAGGAGAGGGGGATAGCCCTCGGCCCTATTGTGCCATCCTCACAAGAAGAGACTGGAGAGGGCCTCTACCGCCACACTGGGAGAGGGATGGTCGGGGCCGTTGCAACACTTGTCCATACCAGATTCGATAGTGAACGAGAAAGGGAGGTGGCAGGTTGTTGTCGTTGCACCAGGAGAGGGGGTGAGCTTACATTGTTGTCTCGCCGTCCTTGCTAGGAGAGGATGTGGAGCACCACCATTGGCCCAATCCATGATAGATCTGTCCACAAACGAGAGAGGGGAGGTGGTGGGCGGTTGCCGCCACTCTAGGAGCAAGTCGAGACCCTACAACTGCTACACCATCCTCGCTAGGAAGGGTAGAGCCAGGTGTGGAACAGGCGGGTGAGGGAGAGAAGGGGTCGCGCCCGAGTGTGGGAGAGAGTGGATGGGTAGGTAGGGTTTCTAGTTACATACTAAGGTCGATTTTTGGTGCTAGTTCATCGCTTGAAGCGTTGTTATAAACCAGCCCAATTTTCACTGCCGGTTCAAGCCACGAATTGGCGATGATATATCATCACTGCTGGTTTTAATAGAACTAATTGTGAAAATACCATAGGGAAAAACCAATTTACATACTATTGATTCATGACCATCGCGAACTATACCTACCTAAATATAAAGAGATGTTGGGCCCTAAGGGGGTCATCATCATGGTTTGTGACAATCTCCAGTAGGCCTTCGACTGTGATATGGAGAGCTATAAGCTTGCCATGGTTTGAATGGCTGTTGTCGAGCTAGACGAGCTTCAGTTGGAAATTGCCTCTCATCCAGTGATGGATGAACCCCATCCAAAGATATATGGGGCAACCATGTTCAAGCCGATAGAGGAAATGAAGAATGTGGGTGTTGACCTAGAAGACTCCACCATTACAGCCCTGGTTGGGACAACGATCGACGAAAAATAGGAAAGCGTGCTCTTTGCTTTACTCCACAAGAATAAGGACATCATCGTGTCGAAGCTCTCTAACATGGTAGGTGTCCCAAGTGAGGTGATCACGCGGAAGCCCACTATTGTGGGTTGTTTCCCTCAGTTACTCGTGTTAGGCTTCACGCTATGTGAGTATGTCTTATGTTGATGCTTCGAGTAACAATAGGATCGTTCAGATGAGAATAAGAGTGTTGAGGATGGTGATTTATGTCATGATGAAGAATGATGTCCTTCTTCAATGATATAAGACCATAGTGTTAATTTGTCACCATGAATCATCTTACACTACTGCTAAACAAAATAACTAACAAAAACTTACAATATTTGTAAGTGAACATGATGTTGGGTATTGATATTGATATATTCTTCTTGATTTTGATTATTTTATAAATTCTGCTATTAGGACTTAGTGCCTATAGTGGAACCCATGATCTGCAAATTAAAGTATCAAACATTAATCCACTACCAGGCCCATACGAGGTTTTTGCAGATATAGCCAGAGATAGCTGCTCAGCAAGATTAAAGCTAGGATACTTAGCTTTTCGCGCTAAGAAATGGCAAACACTAATAGCTGGAGAGCTAAAATCTTATTGGCCCAAGAAAATCAGGCAGCGGCCCACCTAATACATCCCAACCCAACCCAACCCTAGCCTACATCCCATATCCGGTCTCCCACCCGTCCATTTTTCTTTGATTTTTACAAAAACAGCTAAATAATATCTTAGCTGCAGCTATCTCCGGCTATAGCTGCATTTAGCTGTTGAGAAGGACAGCAGCTAAATAGCTTAGCCGGGGATTTAAAACCTTGGGTATTTGTTACCTTGGTGACAAATGGCTGGGGAGGTAACTAGGTCCGGTGGACTGGTGGAAAGTTTATGATATGTTGTCATAAAAAATAGCAAAACCTCTCGTATAGCCAAGGAACAGAGATTTATTCTTGGAATGACAAAACTACTGCAATATTAATAATACAGTGTCACGTTGTTGCCAGGCAGGGACCGGTGGAAATTCTACATTAAAATGAGGTCAATAGAGACAAACTACTGCAATATTAATAATACGGTGTCACATTGTTGCCAGGCAGAGAAAATTTAAAAACAGGATCTTAGTTCTGAAGAAAATCCATGTCATCAACATATCATAGAGCGGGTTTCACTTCATCTTGGACATCGACTTATCCTTGGAAAGACAAGGTCTCATGCATGCTGGGAAGGGGAGACCTGAAATTTCGTATAGCATGTTAATTAGCACAACAGAGATAGCATAAACTCTAAGGTTCTACCGATATTAGGCTATTTAATAAGTTAAAATTGTATTTAAAAATCAATGGCAATCAATTAATTATGATACACACACTGATAGTTTGTTTGGTCTTTTGGTTTTGTAGAATCTAGCTAGTTCGAACTGTAAAGGAGTGTCATTGCAGGTGAAGAAAATGAAACTAAATCCAGACATTGAGTCACCTTATTTGATGATGTTCAGAGTGTAATAATCCATGAAATTATTTTTTCGTATTACATAGCATGACACAATGAAACTGTAATGATGTCTCAATTGTTCACACCTGGTCAAAAATTGGTACACGTTTCCCATTGAGTTTATCAACAATATCCGCTATGGAAGGCCTCTTGTTCCGATCAGCCTCCACACACTTTAGTCCAATTATAATGCATGCTTTTACTTGCTGAAGGCCATTTGGATCCAGTAATGGGTACTTGTACATTATTTGCTCATCTGTCTTCCAATTTTGATGTATCTACAGAGTTGGATTTATTCCTTAGTGATAATGTATTAGCTGAATGCAGGGAAAGATTCCAAAAACAGAAGTTTCAAAATTCAAGGCATCAAGTAGTAGTGCTATCTTACATTGTCGACAAACTGTCTTGCAGATCTGTCTTCAGAAGCTGAAGAGTTCCTCTCTCTGGTCGTAATCTCAAGAATAATCATGCCCAAACTGTATATGTCAGACATGGTGGAGATTTCACCTCTGTATAGATATTCCGGAGCTATGTACCCACTGCAATAGTTTATCAAAGAATCAAATAGCGTTTACTTGTAGTAAATAGAATGAATATATAATCATATATTCACAGTTGTTTCTGCTTACTTATGTCCCTTAACATTGACTGTATACATCCGGGTCTGCTCTTTGCCAAAGAGTCTCGAGAGTCCAAAATCGGCAATCTTTGGCACCCAATTATCATCCAACCATATCGAGTTAGGCACAAGATTCATATGGATAAGAGGCCCACCAACTAATTCCTTATGAAGGAAATGTAAACCCTGGCAGATCCCCTTAACTAGCTTGAACCGTGTGTTCCAGTTTATTGATGTAGCATCTCCTAGATAAGTAAGAAATAAAGAAAGTACTAATAGTGAGTTATAAGTATCCCAAAATAGTATTGTCCAAAAGTCTAAATTGCTTACATTGGTGGCAACAAAACAAATATCGGAAACAAGAATCATAATAACTCTTTTGACACTTGTTTTTATCTTTCAAGTATGTATGAATAGTAGAGAGAGGAAATGTGTGTTGGATAGTGCATTGCATACCATAAACATATTTGTCAAGACTCAACTTTGGTAGATATTTGTAGCAAAGACAGCTTTCGATGACGTCCACAATCACATATCTTCCATTATGCTGAACAACTTTCTTCTGCGACTCATGGCAGTAGTGAACCAGCTCTACAATATTTTCGTGTTTAAGTGCCATAAGATTTGTAACCTCAGTTTCAAATGTTATGCCAGCCGGCACTGGTGCGTTTTCAGCAAGCCTCTTCACAGCAATCATGCGGCCCCCTTCTGGAAGAACACCCTGTTTAACTTTAACCTCTGTCAGTGAAACAGTTTTGTATGTAAGAATCTGATGTGTAATTGTTAGTGTCCACACGCACCTGATAAACTGTTCCGAAAACAGATCGACCAAGTTCTCGGTCAACAGAGAAATCCTTGGTAATTTCCTTCATGAAGGTCACCGGTAGGTTTGTTGGTAATGTACTCGCAAGACTCGGCTGGCTCTGCAGGTTCGCCATTTCTGATGACCTTGAAGGAGGCAAGGGGCTACGGATCTGAACTGCTACAAATCGAGGCTTCTTCTACTGTATCCAAACAAGCAAGAAAGTCTGCTTAACCACATACATAAAGCAAGAACAAGATCGTTTCTAAGACATTCCAAGGTCAAAGACAGCTTAACTCAGCAGGGGTAACACTGAATAGGCACAGGCATGAGCAAGTGAAAACTTCAGGAATAAACATCTTGTTAGAAGGACTGACCTGGAGAAGAACACTTGAGGATCCTAGTCCTAGCTGCAGCGTGCAGGAAGGATCCTGGAGAAGAGCATACAGATTACAGGCGGATGAGGATGCCTCCATTATTGCTGCAAAGAATATATAAAGAAGCAGACAGCAGGCTAGAACCAACCGCGTTAACAAAGACAAGTTGACTTGACCAAGCTAATGCTAAATGCCCTGTCCAATGTGGTTCCCACGTGGTCACGCGCTTGGAAAAAGCAGGACAAGAAGTACTGCATCGATCCGATAAAATGTAACGTGGTGACGTTTTAGGATTGTCCTGAATCAAGCTATCTCAAATATAATTTGGTCTTATAAATATTAATATCTTGAAGAAAATTCACTATTTAGACTCTGAATATGATACGGTTACTTATTTAGCACCAAATGATAAAATTTCCTCAATATAACTTAGGTTCGTTTTTTATTACCTATATAGCACTGTGGCTAGATGTGGCCACTAACACCGTCAACGCGGAAAAAGACTATATTACCGATGTTTCATATGTAACACCGTACCATCATCAACTTGTCAATAGTGATATTTTATTGCACATTTTTTTTGATAGTACCATTTTCTTACATTGAATATTTTTTGACAGTACAACTTTTTTGGACCGTGAATAGCTTTTGGCAATACAAATTTTTTCCATAAATTATTTACGGCAGTATAATTTTGTGGACAATGACAATTTTTTAACAGTACCAAACGTACATTAAATTCACACATATACAAAATTATGCATTTGGTACTCTAAGTACTCCTGCTCACTAAGATTACAAGAGCACATATATCCAATCACTCAAGCTTTAAAGCTCTAATGCCTAACCCTCACAAAGATGAACACTGTCCTATTATATATCTTGGATGTGATCAATATATGCACTTGAGAGGATGAATGGAGTATATAGAATCATTTGCCCTAGCTTGGGAACTCTAACAATATCAGACAAGCGAGTGGAAACCCATATATATACCTATCCACACCCTAGTGGTTAGACAAATTCTGCCAGAAATGTAATTAGACGGAAGGTCGGGTGCCTACTGAATGTCACCAACGATCCATTTGTTGCAAATTAGCTGATGCAGCTGGTCCAGTGCTCACCGTTTTTTGCTCGCCGGACTGTCTGACCTTCTATCCGGTGCTTCTCCGGCACTCACATTCCTTCTCACCGGAATGTCTGGCTTATTCAAATAAACAGTTTTCCCGGACACCTGGGATTTTTGTCTGGCCTCTTCACTTTTCTAGCTGATTTGGATCGTCTGTCCAAGTCACCTTGGATGTTGCTTCACCAATCTTCATGCCATTTGTTTCTTTGGACCCCTAGGATTTTTTGGACTTGTCTAACACAACTTAACACACATGTTAGTTCTAATGATTTGGTTGTCATCTAAGTCCCCTAAATCATGTACATGAGCACATAATCATTACAAAGTCCTAGTGTATTCTGTACATATTTTCTTTCTATGAAAATTAATAAAATTCAGTAGGGCCCTCCCATATTGTTTGGTAAAAAAAATGTTGTTCACAGAACATGAGAAAAAACAAATAACAATTATGCACACAATTTTTAACAGGTTATGCATGCAGATTTGTGACACAAAAAAATACAATAACTCAAATCAAGAAGGAGCTCTCAAAAAAGTGACATGACACAAGGAACACGCTATTCAAAAGAACATAATTGGTAACTGATACAATTATTCTGAATTATTCTTTCCATGATTCCATCTAGAGCAAATCGCCATGGGTCTGCAACAGACTTTTCACTTGCATAGTATAGTTCACCATTCAGTGAGCATGCCTTCCGTCGAGCTTGTCAACAATTTCAACTATAGAAGGTCTCTTGTTCTGATCAACATCCACGCATTTTAGCCCAATTTCGATGCATGTTCTTACTTCCTGGAGGCTGCCTGCATCTAGTAGTGCTGAGTGCTTGGATGCAATGTGCTCATCTGTCCAGGTTTCACGCACCTACAGAGTTAAGAGGTGTGAGCTTAAGTGACAACATTAAGCATGTAAAAAAATGTTTTCCAGTCTTAGTCTTGCCTTATCTACAAAGTCCCTTGCTGACATGTCTTGTTTGCTTGAAAAATTCTTCTCACCTGTTGTGATCTCCATGATTACCACACCTAAGCTATATATATCGGACCGGGTTGAAATTTCACCCCTATATAGATATTCTGGAGCCATATACCCTCTGAGAAGTGTGAATGTCAAACGAACGACAAGGATCATAGGACAATGCAATTTGATTTGATTTAACATTTAGAATAAAGAATAATGATATTTATTGGTTTTCCCCACAACATTTATAGTGTTTATTCAGGTTTGCTCTTCACCGAAGAGTCTTGAAAGGCCGAAATCCGTGATTTTCGACACCATGTTTTCATCCAACAATATGTTGCTAGGCTGAAGATCCAAATGAACAATTGGCCTATCCATTTCCTTATGCAGGTAACGTAAGCCCTGGCAGATGCCCTTGATTATCTCGAAGCATGTCTTTCAATCAGGTCTAAAAGATGCATCTGAAGAATGAAAACATGGGTCATGTATTTACATACATCTCAGAAAGTTAATGACAAAACAAATATATGCATGTTAGATAGCGCGTTCTTATGCATACCGAAAATATACTTGTCAAGGTTTCCGTTAGGCACATATTCATAGTAGAGCATGCTCTCAACCACGTCTACAATGATGTATCTTCCACTGTGCTTGATCACTTTCTTCTGTGGTTCATGGCAGTAGCCGAGTAACCTCACTATATTCGGATGCTGCGTGGCCATAAGATTCCCAACCCCAATCGTGAACTGCTTCTCAGGTGCCACCGGCGCATTATCTGAAAGCTTCTTCACGGCAATCTTCTCCCCATCTTGCAGAATGCCCTGTTACTTTGACCTCTTATCAGACACTGATCGGTGTGCGCTTATTGGACAATATTCTAAAACTGGAGAACATTGTTGTTGAGCATAGTGGTATGGCACCTCATAAACAGTTCTAAATGCACCTTCACCAAGCTTTCGAGCATCAGAGAACCCATCCGTGATCTCTTTCAGAAACTGCGCTGGTGGGTTAGTCGGCAAGGTGTTCAGAAGACTCGACTTGCTGGCCATTCCTGACGATTTGACGCAGCTGCAGATCCGAGCTAATCAAACAAGATTTATTATAGCAACTTCAACTCCAGCAAAAATATGGCATTGTTCATGAACATAGTATGTATACGAGCATAACACAACACAGATTTTTGCACAAACTGGAAAGTTCTGAAACCAAACGAAAGTAAGCGGCTTGTTAGAAGCACTGACCTGGAGCAGAGAACTTGAGGGATCCAGGCTGGGGAGATCGAGATCGAAGAACCAGACGTACGGGATGAGATTGCTGGCAGGATGAAGGGGGAGCTGCTGCGGTTTTAATAAGATTGTATATAATCCAGTCCGATGGGATCTGGAACGGAGACTAGGAGGGAGTTGACTCTAGACCATGTGAGCAGAGCAGTGTAGGATGTGACAATTTTCGAAGGAATGTGGGAGCAGTTGTGACTTATGAGGAGGTTAGTAGTGAGTGCATGAGTGGGGGATGCTGGGCCGGACCTTGAAATCCCCATCACCCCTTGTGCTAGATGTCACCGTCACCGTGTCTACACGACTACACCGCGTTCCAAGAGCAAGAGCTAAGTTGCTGACGCTGTTCGTCTAAACGGTGCTTTATTCTGTTTAAACACCATTTAAAATCTCTTTCTCATTGTTTATTCATATTTTAAAATTTCTTTACAATGTTCATTCTTATTTGAACTTCTCCTTACCTTGTTCTACTCACGTTTTGAGAGCCGCCCTTTTTCGAAAATCCACTTTCTTTTAAAACGTTTTCTTTTAGAAAACCTTTCTTTCAAAATCTTATTTGAACAATTTTCTTCTCAAAATCCTCATTTTGAAAACTAGTTATATACCTCCTACCATTACGAGCCTTTCCCTATTGAAACCTAAGATTCTCTGATCCTCGACCAACTCTCCACTCACCTTATAACATCAAAAAGCCTAGCCTATCCTTGTTAAACCCCTCCTATGTTAGGGCCCCATAAAGCATGCCAACAACTTACTACAATGGAAAAGAGGGAAGAGAAACAAGGTTTGCATGAGTTCACTTTTTTAGTTGCAAACATCGTTGAACTATACCTGTCGTTAGGGTGGGCACACATCAATGCTTGTCCACACCCAAACCAAAATCATTATATCCATTCCTCATCCTTCCTGAGAGCATCTCCCGGAGTTTTGCAAAGCAGCTTCTTATTTTGATATTTTAGCATAAAGGGAAAAAAGTGCTCGCCAATAGCTTGGTAAAAGAGCTTCTTCTTAAAATAAAAGGTTGACAAATATCCTCTCCAACTCGTTAGTTTTCGAAGTCAAGAGGAACTCTGTATCCGCTCCCCGTCTAGCGTTTTTCTCGAGAGACCGGGGTAAATTGGACACATGAGTAAATTAAGAAAATAAAGGATTCCAGATGACAAAGAAACTACTAGAAAATGTTTTGTTGGTTAGAAATAGTTTAGGGTTCCCAATGAAAAATCGTTTAGAAACTCCTATAAGAGATCGTTGAAGAAGGACAAAAATTAAGGTTGCTATTTATTCTATTAACTTGCTAGATCTATTAATTTAGCATAAACTATACCAAACTCTTAGAGATGCTTTAATATCATCCATGCTAATTTGCCAAACGCCCAAACCTAAAATGTAATGATGATCAAACTAATATGATAGGGGTGCTTGGATTAGAGTGCCAATTGATCATCTTTGGGTACTAGTAAGTATACCCATATTCTACTCATTTCTAAACCCATATCCTAGTCATTTGATGATGTGGATGTGGGTACACATATTGAATACCCATCAACTGTATACGTGGAACGATGAGTAAGGTCACTCCTACGGCCCTAGGGGGCGCTTGTAGCGTAGGATCAAGATTAAGACAAGAGAAAAGTAGTCTTTCCTGCTACTAACTTAATTACCTAAAAGTTTGCCACGAGTGGATTCAATGACATTGACCAAAGTTGGACATACTTGACTCACGAAAAAATTAAAATATCAAACATTTAGAGATGAAGGGAGTATCTCTTTGAAACAAACAACTAGTAACAATACTAATAATGCAATATTGTAAATTGGCATCGGAGCCTTTGCAACCGTACTGGTGCTCCAGCATAGCAAAAGTTCAATACAGAACATTACGGTGTCATACATATACATCAAAATTTAGCAGGGATGAGATACAAGGGCTTTTGAGTATTTGAGTTGCATACAGCTTCCAATTTCAACCCAAAAAATATAAGCTGATAAGAAAAATATGGGTGGTTCACTTATACTACAATAAGGACTTCACTTTAGATGCAGTTCCACATAAAAAGATTGGCAGTCTTTTGATGGAGCTAATGTGAGAAATAACTGGAACAAGGCAGACTGACACAGGTAACTACTTCCTTAAGGCAAAGGCGGAGAGCCATGTTTTGGCAGTAATTATCGTGAACAACATCTGCCTATGATTCAGCTGAAAAGATGAATGTGATGCTAGACAATGTCAGTAACTGAAGAAAACATGGAATTTGAAAAGGATGAAACACACATGAGCAGATGCAACTTACAAGATTACTGCTGAAGAAATAGTGATAATCCCCCTAGATGCGGATCTCTGGAACATGCTGCATCTTTTGTTTTATGCCCTTATTGTTCCATTGAGCTTTGAAATCCTCGTGGAGACCAAGCAACCAAAGCTTCTTAAGACAGTGACAGTTTTCAAATCCTTGAGGGACTGTAGCTAGCTTTGGTAGCGATGTAATGTATATACCCTCAATGACTGGAAGTGAACCATGTCCAATGTCCAGAAAACTCACATCATGCAAACCCATCAAAACAAGTGTCTTAAGGTGAGTGAAGGAGTCAGCAGGAACAACTAATTCGTGTTTACTGTTTATGTTGTTGAGTCTTAGATAGGACAGGTGTGGGGCATGTGATGCGAGGAACACCAATGGATCTTCTCCCCCAAGGTGACAACCACTAAGAGCTAGATACTTAAGATTTCCCCCATGGTGCTCAAACATTGGGCACTTCAGTGTTCTGCCAGCCCAACAACCTCTGACAATCAACCTGTGGAGCTTTGTGGAAGTTGGTTTGAGATCCTCAAAAGAAAGTGGCTCATTCACATTACTAGCAGAGAGAAGCAAGCTATCAAGAAGAGGCATCATTGACAAAACCTTACAAATCTTGCTACAATGGGCAGTAGTTATGTTTTCAATCCACACGCTCCTTAGCTGCATCATATTCTCAAGCTGCTCGGCCAAGTAAATACTTGATTGCACAGTCTCAAGAGTTTGAAGTTCTTCCAGATTGGAAAGCCCTATAGGTGCCTCCACTCCAACAAAGTACCGGAACTCTGACTGCTTCACATCAGCATATCTGTCAGCAAGAATGTGCCTAAGCTTAGTGAGCTTCACAATCCCATGTGGCAGATTTCTAATATTGGTTGACTTGACATCAAGAGTCTGAAGATTGATGAGATTCTCTATAGATTCTGGCAGTACGCTTATTCCTGTATTTCTCAGACCAATGTAACGTAGATTAAACAGATGACCAATTGATGCAGGTAATGTGGTGACTTCTGAGTCTTGCAATTCAAGGACAGTAAGGTATTTGGATTCAGATAATATTGAAGGTATAGACATCACAATGGTTTCACTTGCCATTAGCGTCCGCAGGCGTGGAAATTTCATCTTGGATGCATCGTTTTTCATCTTCCTCCATTTAAATGCAGACAAGCGACGTACATCTCTATCCATTTGAATTACTGCACCAAAATCATTAACAATACCAAACATCTCTACTTTAGAGATTGTAAGGGCTAACTCTCTCAAGATATCATGCATTCTGAATGTACTCACCCCACCAAGTTCATCATTATCAACAACTTGCAACATGTTTCGATGGATCAGTTCCATGAGATAGCCCTCTGCAACTTCCTCTAGTGTACTGTTCCCTTTCTTTACTACAAACCCTTCTGCAATCCATAGTCGCACAAGCTTATCCCTTGGCAAGGGATAATCTTCAGGGAACATGCTGCAGTACAGAAAGCAATTTCTAAGCTCTCCTGGCAAGTCATAGTAGCTCAGGCTTAGAATTCCACGAACCTGTGCATACTTCTCTAGTTCAGAGGGAAGTTGATCATATATCTGCTTCCAAACTGGCAGAATTAGCTTCCTTGTAGAAAGTAAGCTTCCTATAGATACAATTGCCAAAGGCAAGCCCCCACATTTCTTTGCAATATTAACAGCTAGCACCTGCATCTCTAATGGGCACTTGGCAACTGGCAGGACCACACTTTTCTTTGCAATATCATTAGCTAGCTCCAGGAGTTCTGATGAGCTTTTTGCCATTGACAAGCCCTCACATTTCCTTATAGCATCAGTAGCTAGCTCCTGAAGTTCAGCTAGGCACTGCTCCAGCAATAGGGCCTCAAATTTCTTAGCAACACCAGTAGCTAGTTCATGAAGCTCTGCTGGACAATTCACCAGAGATGATCCGTTACATTTATTTGCAGTATCAGTAGCTAACTCCATTACCTTTGATGGGTCCTCAGACTCGGAGTCATTGTAAGGAAAAGCTTTAGTGCAGAGTAGGCAAAGAGCATCCTTCAGACCTAATGGACTAAGCTTGAGCTGATAATGCTTGGAAGCAAGAGCAGCCACATCCTCTTTCCTTGTTGTGATAACAATGCAACTTCCATTTTTAGAATCTTCAAACACATCTCGCATTGATTCAGACACTTGGGGGTTCCATATGTCATCTAATACAACTAAATACTTCTTTGCTCCAAACACTGCCCTTAACTCTGTTTTAACCTTGAGGATGTCCATGCTGTCAATGCCTTCTGATTTCCTCTTCCCCATTTCCATGCTGTCACTGTCAGCTCTTGTCATCTCAAGTAACTTCCTCAGCAATGCCTCCACGCTCTTGTATGTCTGTGAAATAGTAAGCCACAAAAGCACCTTAAAGTTATCCCTTTGCTTCTCGTATACATTTGCGATCAGGGTGGTCTTTCCTATTCCACCCATACCACAAACTGATACCACCTTAAGATCTTGTGTATCTGACCTCAACCATTCCGTTAGCTGCTCGCTGTTTTTCTCAATCCCCACAAGATCTTCGTCTTTCATAAATTGGGGCACACTGTACTGAGGGAATTGTAGTTCGCTGTTGTGGATTTGAGTTGGAAGAAGCTCGTGAACTGGTCTCAACCATTGATCCTTCAGCATGGAAACATGTACAATTTCCTTCTCAATCTGAATTAGCTCATCAGATATTCCACTAAATATCGCAGTATAGTTTATTCCTTTGCTCAGTCTTTTCAGGAATTGGTCATTCTTGTATCGAAGATAGTGGTATGAAAAGTTATCCATTACATCCTCAACACGGTAGGCCAACATTCGTACCTCTGAGATCCATCCCTTCAGGAGTTCATCACTGAGATACAGTGCACCTGTCTTCCGTATGAAGAGATTCATCATCAAAAGTTGCCTTCGCACACGCTGCACTATGTTCGGTAGCTCTGTCAAATTAGAAAACTTGGTCGCCACAAAAGTTGCAGCTTCTCTTGCTAAATAGAAACCGATCTTTGAGAGAGCAAGGAGAGCTGCTTCAGCCATCCTGTTGAGAAAAACAGACAAGCATGTTTTAGATTACTATATGCAACCAAAAAAAAAAGGAGGGGAGGAAGGCTCCATTTTTTTTGGAGCGAAAAATACAGCAGGGGAGGCCCCCACTGTGAGAGGAGGCAGGTTCCATAGAGCATAACACTTTCCATTTTTCCATAATGTGGAAACTCCAACTTTTTTCATAAACAGAAACGCTGTCTAGTTAATTTTAAGGAATTTATTGTAACTCTCATTTTTCTGTATTCAATATCACAGTGCACACATCTCTTTACCTACATTATACAATGGGACATTATGCTAAGTGTATGCCAAAACTTTAAAGATGCTGTCATTCACAATTCAGAACCAGTAGAATAGTCATGAGACCATGTGCAGATGTTGCGATGCATAACCAAAACTATTCAGGCTCACCTCCCCCCGAGGGTGGTCAGAGTTCGAGTCTTGAGGGGCTCACTCTCGTGGCTTCGGCCACAGCGACCGGGGTGGGGAAAAAAACTCCGTCGTCTGCCCCACATCCAAAGCACAGGTCTTTGGCCAGCTCATCTCATGGAGCTGCGGTGCCGCTGTGTATGGGTGGGGTAGGGGTTCGGGGGGTTTCTCGATTTGCATGAGAAGATCTTCTTAAGCCGGAATACCCGGGGACCGCGGATCAGAGTTTTTTTTTAACCAATGTCACAAACTCATGGAACAATAAACTACCATTAAATTTCAGTTCAAACAAAAGGATATTGAGGCCCCAACCTACATGTCTAGGAGATTTAAAATGTCCACAGTTGAACAATCAGATAACAGATGCTCCTTTTGGAAGTAGCAATTCTGTAGACATACTGATTGGCAAATTCCAATTGCCAATCTGCCGCCACGACCGTGATAAAACAGTGTCAGAGAACCAAGAATCCAAAATACGGAAGGAACGAACATTTTAGCCACGTATTGGGCACGGCAGCGCAGCAATTCGTCGAACAGGTCATATGCGCGGGGACCGACCTCTGACGCGAGGCCAAATCCCTCGGACGAACGGAGTATGAGGCCCTTCCAACATCCAAGGCGGAGGACGGAGGCGGGAAGGGACCCAAGAAGTCGGACGTGCTACGAAGAACAGCAACACAAGCTTCTAGTACAAGAAAAGATGAAGGAATCACCTACTTGATGATGCGGCAACGAGGACCGCAATGGTGGCAGCTCTCCGGGCGCTCGCTCTGGTCTCGTGCTCTGAAGCTCTACCCTGCGGACTGCAGCGCAGGTTCGAAGAGGATGATATCTGCACTGAGATCCAAGGAACAAAGGTTTGGTGCAGATTCCCTTTGGATGCTTTCTCGGTAACTTCGTGCGAACTGCGAAGAAATGTGTTGAGCAACTGAGCATTGGTTAGAATAGATGCCGCTGTCATGCTGTGTTGACTTGACTCCGCTTCCGCGCGTCAAGGTCAATTTTTTTTTTTTGTTTGGCACCTCTAAACTTTAGTAGCTGTTCAAAATTAAATACATAGGTTGAGATTAATTTAGGAGACGAATTTCTTAAGCTTAATTAGTCTATGATTTAACAATGTGGTGCTACAGTACATGCGCTAATGATGGATTAATTAGGCTTAATAAATTCGTCTCGCGGATTACTGACAAATTCTGTAATTTGTTTTTTTATTAGTATCCGAACACCCCATGCTATACCCCATGTGACATCCGATGAGACACCTCTTAAACTTTAGTCTCTGCATCAAACACCCCCTAATTCACTGATTGTGAAGTCTATTTCAACCCATCACAAGATTAAGCCGGATCCATTAGCTGTTAATACTTAGCTAACTAATAGTAGCTCGTAGCTAATATTATCTAATTAATTATTACTCCCTCTTTTCTAAATTATAAGTACCTTTGAATTTTTTGGTTCATCCATTTTACTATATATCTCGGCATAATATTATATCCAGATGCATAGCAAAATAAATATATCAAAAAAGTTAAAGCGACTTATAATTTAGAACGGATAGAGTAGCTGCTATTAAGTAGTTTGATTTAACTAGTAAAATAGTTGTTAGATGGATATTAGCTAATAATTAGCTAAACTTCAATCAAATGAGCTAATTATTAATAGCTAACTATTAGTTGCTTGATTCAAAAAACGGGTCTAAGGGCCTGTTTAGATGCATATACTAGTAACTAAGTAGGTTAGTAGGAGTAGGGCTAAAACCAAATTAGCCCAAATTATTTGTAATTGGTGAACAGTTAGTTAAAAACTTGGCTAAAAAATAGCCTACGTATTAGCCCTTCCGCTTAGGTACACTAGAACTAATCTTAACTAATTTTTAGCTATCTAGCAATTAGCCTTTGTAACAAACACCCTTAATGTCATCACTCGTCATTTAGTTGTTTATCTCGTTCGAGCAATCGAGCGACTGTGATGAGCTACCGAGGGCACTATTGTGGTTGGTGTCAGCAAGTCCTGCATTTGGGTTGTAAGGTGCGTTTAAGAGGCTGTATGGCAAACCTCCCCCCGGCTTCAGCTGGAGTTAGGGTGTTTGGTTAACCCAACTAAACTTGAGTCCCTATCACAAAATATGTTTAACACATGTATGAAGTATTAAATATAGACTTAAAAAATAACTAATTACATAAATTAAGATTAATTTGCGAAACTAATTTATTAAGCCTAATTAGTCCATGATTTGACAATGTTGTGCTACAGTAAACATATGCTAATGACGGATTAATTAGGCTTAATAAATTTGTCTCGTGGATTACTGTGGACTTTTGTAATTTGTTTTTTATTAATATTCAAACACTCCAGGTGACATCCGATATGACAACTGCTAAACTTTAGTCCCTGTATCCAAACACCCCCTTAGAAATTATGGCTCTCTTGGCTTCCCCTCTTCTCAAATATTTTTTTTACCTTGAACGGTTGCTACAGTGATTTCAAGGGATGAGTCGAAGTCCCTCAAAAAAAAAAAAAAACCAAACAGGGCGTAAATGATGCTCTTCACGTGCCATGCCAAATTCTAGCGGTAAGCCAAACTTTGGCGGCTGAAACCGAAAATGCTGGCCCGAATTGGCCACCTGGCACGCAAAAAAACAAAATCTAAAGTCTATCAATTATTGGCCTCTGAGCAACCCCAACAGTTTGGGATTTTTTTGTTTACCAAATCTTGTAGTTTGGCAACTCCCCAAATGTTTTGCCAAAGGAAAAAAAGATCAATCTCCAATAGTTTGCCAAATTTCACTTGCCAATCTGAAAAGTTGGGCCCACGAGCTGGGTTTTTGCCGCGGGATGAAGGCCTTTCCCCTCGAATTTTTACTCGCGTCGTCGCGCCAAAACATCGCCGCCATATCCTTCGTGTCGCGACTCCTTGACGGCGGCAGATCCTTCCTGGCCGGTCTTGTCTCCTCCCTAAAGTCCATCGCTGGTACTTGTGTCCTGCCAGGCGGCCACCAGGAAGTCCCAGGCGGCAACCATATACAGGTCGTGGTTCATCGCTGGTACTTCTCCTCCCTGCGTGTCGTGGTTCCATCTTGGGGCGCCGTGATCAGGTCGCCGTGGACGTCGTCAGGTCTCCTGGTCGCCATCCGGCAGGAGCTGCAGGGCAGCCATCCTTGGCCATCCATCAGGTACACAGTACTTGAGTGTTTTGGGAATGGTCAGGGTGCTATGTACAGATTGATTGATGTTGTACAATTGTCATTTCCAGGCGACATCATGAGTGGTGTCAAATCACTTCTCCAAAGAGAATTGGAGGATGATTCATCTTCAGACGACGATGATTATTTCATCATCGCAGCTGCTGCAATTGTCCAAACATTTTCGGGTCATAAACGAAGACCTGGTGGTTCTGTCCTTGGCCATGCTATTATTTATCGAGATAGAGAAGGCGGCCATCGAAGGATGTTTCAAGATTATTTGGCGGATAATCCAATGTACGGACCACATTTATTCCGTCGGAGGTTTGTGGTCATTCACCTTTGATTGCCCCGTACTATGCACTTAAGTATTATATGTGTTATTAAACTTTTGTTTATTTTTCTTCAGGTACAGGATGAGTAGGGAGCTTTTCCTACGCATAATGAATGCAGTCACATGATGATTACTTTGTGCAAAAAAGAAATGCGGCCAACGTATTTGGATTAAGTTGCTTCCAAAAAGTCACTGCTGCATTTCGTATGCTCACATATGGGGTTCCCGCTGATGCTACAGATGAGTATGTTCGCATTGGAGAGAGTACTGCACTTGAGAGCCTACGTAGGTCCGTTGCTGCAGTTGTTGATTTATTTGAAGATGAGTACCTGAGACATCCCAATGAGGCAGACACGGCACGCTTACTGGCACTCGGTGAGAGAAGGGGTTTTCCTGGAATGCTAGGGTCCATTGACTATATGCATTGGGCGTGGAAGAATTGTCCAGTCGAACATCAGGGTCAGTACAAGGGGCATGTGGAGAAGCCCACTATCATTTTAGAAGCTGTTGCTTCGAATGACCTTTGGATATGGCATGCCTTTTTTGGAATGCCTGGGTCGCATAATGACATCAATGTCCTTCATCGGTCTCCGTTATTTGCAAACCTAGCAGAGGGTAGAGCTCCATATGTGAACTACACCATTAATGGTCATGATTACACCATGGGGTATTATCTAGCAGATGGTATATACCCCTCATGGGCTACTTTAGTCAAGTCCATCTCTCTACCTATGGGGAACAAGAACAAATATTTTGCCAAAGCACAAGAAGTAGCGAGGAAGGATGTGGAAAGAGCTTTCGGGGTTCTGCAATCTAGGTTTGCCATTGTTCGAGGACCAGCTCGCTTGTGGGATACAGAGACACTTGCTTTGATCATGAGGGCCTGTGTGATCATGCACAATATGATTGTTGAAGATGAAGGATTCGTCGACCCTGATGAGCGGTTCGATTATGGTGGTCAAAATGTGCAACCTAATCGTGGCCAGGCTACTCGACCACTTGCAGAATTTATTGATGCTCATAAAAGGATTAGAGACTAGGAAGCACATTTCCAATTGAAAGAAGACCTCATCGAGCACCTATGGAACCATCATCCGGATTTATATTAGCTACATATTGCATTTTCATTTAATTGTTAAGATCATTTTATGTTATCAGTCTACTCTAATGAATAATATTTTTTTTAAAGTGCGTTATCAGTACATTGAGTATGTTGTGTGTTACCTGTAAATTCTGTGTGCTATCAGTGAATCACAATGCCACAGTACTAAACAAAAGCAACATATGAGAAACAAGGTTCTCTGAATCACATCCAAAACAAATGTTTACTGCTTATTCTAATTAAATGAATTGAACTAAATCTAATTTGCCAAACGTCGAGCGATGATCTGCTGCTGCATTGTTTCATAGTACTGTCGCTGCAGCGGGGTGAGAGAGGTCATGTCCATCTGCATTATTTCTTTTTCCTCTTTGAGCAAGTCCGCTTCAGCTCTTTTTTGTTCTATTTCCAGTCTCTTCTTCTCTAGCTCAAGTGAAACCTGGAACCTTTCATCTTTCTTCTTCTCTCTCTCCAAGTCAAATGCCTCCTTCTTAGCCAACATCTTGTCCAAAGCTTCCATGCAAGCTTCGCCAGGTCCTCGCTTAAGAGCTTCTTTTGCCTTCTTGACACCCTGTGGCCTTTTTCTTTCTTCACATTCTTGAGCTGCAATCTCTGTGACATTTTCAGTGATTGTGGCTTCGACATTCCTTGTCGTCGAGTCTATGTGCACCTTCTGTTTTTTCTTGGCTGCTAGCTTCTCTTGCTCGGCCAGTTCCACCCTCTTGGCTTTCCACTTGTCTTCTTCCTTCAATTTGTTCCAACAAGGTACAAGACTAAATGACTTCTTCTCCTTGTCTAATTCCTTGTACAGCTCCAAAGTGTCTGATATCTGCACATGTTAAATAGGGCCATGAATATATGTTTTAAAATAAACCAAATACAAAAAAGGTGCAAAACAAACCTTGTCTTGGATAGTTTTTCCACTTTCATTCCTACGCTCAATCGACTCGTGGCATGCACAAAACTTGTTCACAATTGTCAACCACCTATGCATAAGGGAACTCTCTGTCCTGACAGCTGTTGTTTTTTTGTTCTTCTCAAAGTATGCATGAACTCTCTTCCAAAACGTGCCACGAGATTGATTTGCCCCATTAATGGGATCTTTGCTCACGTTCAACCAAACTGAGCAGACAATTAGATCCTCCTTTGGATCAAAATTCTTCGTCCTCTTAGCCAATCCCTTTGTTGTACGACGGCGCTCAACACCTTGACTTGGCTGCACTTGCACGCCAAGTTGTTCAGCTTGAAAAGTAAGATCATGATTTATCAGAGTTTCTTGTGTCATCGGTAACGAGAGGTCGTCCAAACCAGCAACATGAGCATCATCTCCCGTCAAAAAGCCTGTC